CTCTAAATTTAGTCTGATTATTTAAATGAGCTGCTGAATATTTAATGGCCCCACTTGGTCAAGAGAAAATAGTCTTTGACAAGTACAGCGTAAACTGACATCAGAACCGCGAAAATCTTGCCTTGTCACAGAGAATCAGAATAATGCCTGTTTTCTAAAACTTTTAAGCTCCTTTCTATGATTTTCTGCTATTCTCCTTGATCTGTCCACTCAGAGACGACACCAGGACGTCTTACCTGTTGCAGGGTGTAGAGTCCTCTTGGGAGTGTGTGGGGAAAAAGAGAAGCTTCCCCTCTTCAGCCAATCACAGCACAGGAGCCAAGAGCAAGACTGGCAGAGATTTAGCAGTTTCCCAGAAGGAAGGAGCAGGAGTGTTGGAAGACAGAGAAGAGTTGAGAGGAGCGGAAGCTATGACTGATGTTCCCCGTAAGGGTGACAACGTGAGTTCATTAGCTGCTAATATATCTACAACAGTATGTTGCCTGGTAAAATAAAGGTATTTTTTTACCCTCTTTTTCGGGTCCTGTAGGGGGCAGTGTGCACAGTGAGTGCTGGAGAACTGGAGTCTCTGCTGTCCCAAATCCGAGACCTGCTTCCGGACTTGGGAGAGGGATTCATATTGGCATGTTTGGAGGAGTATGGCTACAATTCTGAACTTGTCATTAACAACGTCCTGGAAGATAAACTGTCTCCTTCTATTGACAAACTGGACAGGACAATGGCCAGGTAAAGTCCAACTGAAATGTCTAGGATTTATTGTTCAATTCAGGTCCACTTCATTGTTGCATACTGGCCCTGTAATGTTTCCCTGTAGGCCCGCAAAGAAAGAGCTTCCCTCAGTTTTGAGCACCAGATCAAACGTGTTTGACGATGATGAGTTTGACGTGTTCAACCGTGACCAACTGGACAGGAGTCGCATTTGGAAAGGCCGGAGGTGAGTTCTGTGTTAGAATCCCAAGTTAGAATTCAGTATCAACTTTCATTGACAAACTGGACAGGACAATGGCCAGGTAAAGTCCAACTGAAATGTCTAGGATTTATGGTTCAATTCAGGTCCACTTCATTGTTGCATACTGGCCCTGTAATGTTTCCCTGTAGGCCCGCAAAGAAAGAGCTTCCCTCAGTTTTGAGCACCAGATCAAACGTGTTTGACGATGACGAGTTTGACGTGTTCAACCGTGACCAACTGGACAGGAGTCGCATTTGGAAAGGCCGGAGGTGAGTTCTGTGATCCCAAGTTAGAATTCAGTATCGACTTTTCCCAAAAAGCATTACCCTATCCTGCCCTGCAGTACATTACTCTAAATTTAGTCTGATTATTTAAATGAGCTGCTGAATATTTAATGGCCCCACTTGGTCAAGAGAAAATAGTCTTTGACAAGTACAGCGTAAACTGACATCAGAACCGCGTGAAAGTGGGCTTATGAAATATTCAGCTCAGGCTGTGAAAGATGGTTTGTGTCAACTAGAAATGAATATCTCTGCATTTTTCAGACAGGGGGAGAGTGTGCGTGCCACGCTCGATGACAAGCAGCACATAGAAGAGCAGAGAGCGAGATATCAAGCCTACCAGACAGTGGTGGATGAGATTCCCATAGAAAATGACCCCTCCAGAGACCGTGATGATGCTTTTGGCACATATGATTATGATGACGAATATGACGACACGTATGATGTCAACCAAATAGGAGCCAATGATCTGGATGAAGAGGATGAACTATTGAACCGCAGGTATGAGCTGTGACTGATGTACATAAACTTGCATCTCTCTCTAATGTGGCTGATCAAAATGGGTTTTCAAAGACCATTTTTGAGATGAGCAATGCATTGCAAATAGTGGATTTATATTAGTACAGTACAATCCAAATTAAACCAAAATCGCAATATGGCTTATCGGCTTGATATTTTAATGTTTGAAGATGAAGAATACAGTCATAAATATTTGTATTTTTATAGTCATGATAATTATGATTATTACTGCAGTCAAATACATTTAAGTTAACATTTAAGTGTTTTTCCTTTAGGCCGTTTACTACCCCACAAGTTCTTAGAACAGGCAAAAAGGCTCAGGAGGATGACGCAGGCGAGGATGAGGAGGAAGAGGACAAGGTTTGAATAAACCACTTTCTTTTTTATTTTAAATTAATTTTGGTCCTTTATGCTAGATTTGTTTTTTGTTATATTTCACATTTCAGTATCTGCCTTTTTCTTTTTCCCCTGTAAATAGAAATTAGATAAGTTTTAGGTTCTCGCATTATGCACATTTCCGTTTATTTACGATGGTCTTGTCTTGGGTTATTTTGATCAGAATGAGGCTGTCCCACTTGGTCAAGAGAAAATAGTCTTTGACAAGTACAGCGTAAACTGACATCAGAACCGCGTGAAAGTGGGCTTATGAAATATTCAGCTCAGGCTGTGAAAGATGGTTTGTGTCAAGTAGAAATGAATATCTCTGCATTTTTCAGACAGGGGGAGAGTGTGCGTGCCACGCTCGATGACAAGCAGCACATAGAAGAGCAGAGAGCGAGATATCAAGCCTACCAGACAGTGGTGGATGAGATTCCCATAGAAAATGACCCCTCCAGAGACCGTGATGATGCTTTTGGCACATATGATTATGATGACGAATATGACGACACGTATGATGTCAACCAAATAGGAGCCAATGATCTGGATGAAGAGGATGAACTATTGAACCGCAGGTATGAGCTGTGACTGATGTACATAAACTTGCATCTCTCTCTAATGTGGCTGATCAAAATGGGTTTTCAAAGACCATTTTTGAGATGAGCAATGCATTGCAAATAGTGGATTTATATTAGTACAGTACAATCCAAATTAAACCAAAATCGCAATATGGCTTATCGGCTTGATATTTTAATGTTTGAAGATGAAGAATACAGTCATAAATATTTGTATTTTTATAGTCATGATAATTATGATTATTACTGCAGTCAAATACATTTAAGTTAACATTTAAGTGTTTTTCCTTTAGGCCGTTTACTACCCCACAAGTTCTTAGAACAGGCAAAAAGGCTCAGATGAATGACGCAGGCGAGGATGAGGAGGAAGAGGACAAGGTTTGAATAAACCACTTTCTTTTTTATTTTAAATTAATTTTGGTCCTTTATGCTAGATTTGTTTTTTGTTATATTTCACATTTCAGTATCTGCCTTTTTCTTTTTTCCCTGTAAATAGAAATTAGACTGATTTGAAACAAGTTTAAGGTTCTCGCATTATGCACATTTCCGTTTATTTACGATGGTCTTGTCTTGGGTTATTTTGATCAGAATGAGGCTGTGAAGAAGGATCATTTCGTCCAGGACCCAGCAGTCCTCAGAGAGAGAGCGGAGGCCAGGAGAGCTGCTATGCAAAGCAGGAAAGGGTACGTTTGAGAACACCATGACTGGAATATAGCTACACCGCACACGTGCTCTGGTTATCATCTAAAACATGGATCAGTCAGTCATTAATTGATTTTACCTGTCTGTTCCTGATAGCTACAGACCACCACCAGCAAGTCATGTGGTAGGTGGGCCAAAGGGACGGGGCCAGACGCAGGAGACCGTTTTGGACCGTCGCAAAAAAGAAGCGAATAAGAGCAGAGGAGCCCATCACAATCGCAGAATGATGGCTGACAGGAAGAGGAACAAGGGCATGATCCCTTCCTAAGACTTTTACTTGAAAAACAGCACATTGCAGAGTTCTTAGAGAGCTAAAAGCAAAAACAGTACCTGAGGTTAAATACAGCTCCTCATTTACAGAAGATCGATACGCATCGAGATGACACTCTGGTCTATTACATAGACCTGTCATTCTTTCGGAATAAAAATTTGTTCTCCGTGAGTTTATTTTCTGAAGTATGAATCAACAGGCTGAGTTGGAGTTTGAAGTGCTTAGTAAAACACACAGGGATGTCTGTCTATAAGGGAACAAGATAATCATCTATTTTTTTAACGTTCTTTTTGCTAGTGATAGTCAACATAATGTATAACAAGAAAACAGTTTTGTAAGGCAAAGGTAAAGGAATCATGTCTTTTGCCTTGTAACACATGAGTTTATTGAACAGTTACTGCACTGTTAAAGAACATTCAATAAATAAATAAAGGAACATCAGGTTTGAGAATGTAGCATCTAAAATAAATTTGAGAATGAACTTAACAAAAGATGTGGTACGTTACACTATCAAAGCAAAAATGCAGCTCATAAGATCCTGTTCCAGTTCTTTAAAGGTTTAAAAAGCGATTAAGACTTGATCTCAGAGCAGTCTTTTGAGAAACCTCCCCATTTGAGGTTGTAGAGTCTGATTTCAACACAAATGACTCGATTTTGTGCCACAGGCTGTGAGCATTCATCATTCTAGCAGAGAGACGTCATTTTTCCTCATATAGACTTTGAAAAGGCAATGTTGCCATGTAGAGTAACATATTTCTACTTACTAGGATAAATTCAAAGCATTTTGTAATAGAAAGCATATTTAAGAAAGCTTTTGAATTAAAACAAGCCTTTAGAAGATAAAACAAGAATAAATACTGTTCTTAATAAGAATGTGTTTCTGTATCGTTCCTCTTTGTGTGAGTGTTTAATGTGATTTGACGTAATGGTTGTCTACCTGTCTGGCAGGTGCCCTCCTGAGATAGCGTGGAGTCAAGACGGCTCATGTATCATGACTGAAGCGTGAGAAATGAGGGGAATTTTGGCATTGAGATTCCATATTCCTATATTCTATCATTAAGTACATTTACATGCGCAGTTGCAACGAAGCTACAGCAGGTTTAGTTACAGCATAGACCAGCTGCAGTCTTCATCTATCTGTTCAAGTATTTATGACACAATGTGTAATTGAAAATGAAAAGCTGAGCTACAATTGCTTTATCATTTTTAAGATTTTTTTTTTCTGTGCTCTTGAAAGAAGTATTGGAAAGTAGTATTACGAAATTGAAAAAGAACTATTTTCTATTTTAGTATATTTTAAAAAATTCATTTTTTCATGTGATGGCAAAGCTGCATTTTTAGTAGACGTTACTCCAGTCTTCAGTGTTGCATGGTACTTTAGAAATCAACTTTTCCTTGCAACTCTTTGTATGGAATACTGATACTTGCATGTATCTTTCACTTTACTGTGTAACGGACCTGATTAACATACCTCTTTTTCCACCAAATTGGTACTAGTTCTGGAGCTGGAGGTTTAGCTGACGAAGTCAAACAATGGCGCAACTTACAATGATATTACTGTGTCATGTGGGGCTCTGTACCACACAACCTTTCCACAAACAAACATATTGATACTGTTTCTGCTTAAAGGTCCAGAAACATTTTATATGTTCTCAAAAGGTCACAACCAACTCAACCAGTCAAGAACGGCATCTTATTTGGTGAAAAAGAGTAGAAAAGGGCCAGGTTAGGCACCAGCCCTGGTCTCGTATCAAAGGTTGAGATACTTTTTCTTATTTTGTTTCTCAAAGGAATTTATCCAAGCTTTATGCCAACCCTTGTTTAAACAAAAATTTGAGACTTGAGGGTGTATGATTCTTCCTTAATTTAAAGAGATCTGAAATATTACTTTTGTTTTTTGCGGTGCGTATGACTTCACAATCCGTGTATCTGTAAATTGTTGAGCCGGTTCAAGAAACGTAGAACTTGGTAGTACCTACCTTCAAGAAACTTCTCAAGTGGTTTGACCAAAGATCAGGAACTAGTCCTGACTCCTGTGGTCTCTTGAAAAACAACTCAAGGTTTATAGTCTTTGGAGAGGTCAAATGGAGATATTCTGACCTTACAGTACGGTGGAGGGGTTTAGTTGCCATGAAAAGTCTGAATCAGAAGAGTCAATCCAATTCATACAAATCCTTCCTGGTCCAGCTCAGTAAAAATTACCTGGCAGAAACAGAACAAGAGCAGGAAGAGTTCAGTTCAACTTATGGTGATGCTGGCCGACTATTGAATGACAGTGTGCATGGAGCAAAAATATGTCGATGAGTAAGTACAAATGGTTAACAAATGACAATATCTCTGTCTTTCTCACCAAGCACGCTACGTTTGCAGAGAGGACAGGTCTGCTGAAGGAGTAGCCAGGGATCCACACAATCTCTGTGGAATTCATGGAGGCACGGTAACACCCTCAAACACTAAAACACACGCAAAAAGAGCAGTGATTAAACCGTCTCTCTTTATGGAAGAATAATATGTCTACCGAGCAAAAGCATAGGAATGTGCAGAGGATCTGTCACCTGGTTGTTGTTGTATTGCTCCAGACAAACTGCACAACTGTCCATCTCCACCGGTTGAGTTTGTGTTGGGTCACATCTCACTTTGGGTTGCCGGTATATCCTCGTCTTCAGTGCTGATAATCTCTTTAAAATGTCTTGCTTTAGGTCTGACTGTAAGACAGTTTATTTCTCATTTTATTTATATTATGAACTATGTACAGTGTATAGACTGCCACTCCAAAGTTTGGGCTCAGTAAGTGCATGCCTTATATGCTCACCAAGACTGCATTTATTTGATATAAATGCAGTAAAAACGGTAATAGTCTCAAATATTATTACAATTTAAAATAACCGTTTTAATATTTTTTTAAAGTGTCAATTCAATGTGATGGCAAAGCTGAATTTTTAGCATCATTACTCCAGTTTTCAGTGCCACATGATCCTTCAGAAATCATGCTAATATGCTGATTTGGTGCCCGAAAAACACTTATTATTATTATTATTATTATTAGTATGAAAACAGTTGTGCTGCTGTAATATTTTTGTGGAAACAGAGGTTAAATTCTTTCAGGGTTCCTTGATGAACAGAAAATTCCATTCTAGATTTTTTTTGGTAACATTATTAATGTCAATTTTGATCAATTTAGTGCATTCTTACTGAACAAAACTTCTTTAAAAAAAATCTTACTGACTCAAAACTTTTGTTTATTGACAGGATTTCCTTCCAGTCTCCACTTGCTTCTTTCTTCACAATTAGTGACATGGGTGTCATGAACTTTTGAAAATGTTTCTAACTTTTTAACACAAACAGCGTTCACCTCTAAATCATCATTAAGCTGGTTGTCCTGGTACTGCCAGCGTGCATGAACTATGACCCCTGTGGAGAGGACCAGGGCCACCAGAACGACAGTGTTCCAGAGCTGCTGGAGATATTTCTGGACAGATGGACAAAAAGGAAATTAAAAAGAAGAGAAATTCTCTTTGCTGACTAATAAAACTGCATTTTAATTTTTACAAATGACAAGGAGCATTAAAGGTTACCCAGAAATGAAAATTCTGTCATCATATGCCCTTCCAAACCCATAAACCATGACAGCTTTTTCATTTTTGCGTGAACTATCCCTTTTAGAAACAGAAGATGATTACATGACAGTGCTGACATTTTTGAGCTGTAACCCTGGATGATAAGAGGTGTCTTCATAGCACTCATACCTGGACCTGAGAGTTGGTCTCCCCGGTGCAGATGACCCCTTGCCATTCCCCGTACAACCCTCCTCTCGAACGGCCACAGCTGGACCACAGGGTCAAGGTGGCCCCCTTTGACACAACATTTAAAAATATCACACTCCTACACTAATGAACCACGGCATGTGTGAAACTAGGATACATAGGAGTAAAATCTTACCAGACTGTCCTGTAGAAAAGACTTGTAAGTGATTTTTGCTGTTGCGTGAAGGCCCCTAATTGAATAAAAGTAAAAATAAGACACATTCCTAAATTCAGTATATCGTTTACTCAGAAGAAATCGATCATTTAATGACTGAGGATTACCTGAGGAGTGCTCCAATGAGCCTAGTGACATTTTCTGATGTCTGAATGATAATGATTGGCTTTGAGAGGACCTGAGAGAGATCCATCTACAGAGGAAGAACAGTTTTTTTCTTAATACTTATACATATCTAAAAACCATTATGAGATCAGCTGAAGGTTTATGGATCGGAGCAGCAAAGCTCTCACCTCTCGGACAGTATTCTGGTTTAAAGCCAGGATGATCAAAGCAGATGCACCCAAAACAAGAGCACGCTTCATCTATGGAGGAAAGATCTGTCAGTTTGATCAATACTACCTAGTCACCATGCTTAAGTCATTATTGTGAATACCTTATTGACCACAGAGGCAGCAAACGACTCCTGGTTGCTGTTACTGGAAACTGTGCCTTCCTTTATCTGGACAGGTACCACTCCAATCCAGGGGTTCGGATCCTTTCCATCACTGCTTTCACTGCTGGTTTTAATAGCTTTGTCTTTTATCTGCAGAGAGAAAAATTAAGCATGACACTGATGCTTAAGACACAATATGTCCCACAAATTTGCATAAAATCAATCTTTAATAAAAAATGATCATGTTCTTTGGTTTCATTTCATTTGCTCTCAAAATAGTTTATACACTGTTATATAATTTTCACTTATTTTCTCAAATTATTCATAGAAGTGCATTTGTAATATTTAATATAATATTAATACAGACAAATTATATGAGATTTACTAGTTTTTGCCGCTTGACATTTTAAAAGTCTGTATTATTTCATGTTTTAGGGCTATAATGGCAAAATATTGGTTAGTGTCATATATGATCTGTAGGTTTAAGTTTATGATTTATTATATTGAATGTACCAAACAGCACAAGAGAAAGGAATAAATGCAAATATTCTTTGTAGTTTTATATAATTAAAACAGCTATGCTTCTATTTTGTCAATTAATTTATACATGATGTAAGTTAGTGCTATATTGTCAGAATTTACATAATTATTTAATAATTAAAATATGTCATTATTTATAATATTTGACATAATTTGTGCATTAGTGCTGGCACAGACGACATACAAGAAAAGTGTTAAAATGAAAATATAGTAAATAATGCATGTTTTGTTTGCAAGAAACAGACATCCAGAATAGTGAAACTAACTTGCTATGTCAAGTATCTGTCTGCATGCATTTATCACTTACTAATATGAGGTCTCCATTGAGGTCATGTTTCTTTTTGCTGTGGTTTTCCATGGGCTCGTTCTCCAGACTCCCCTGGAGCACCTCACCCTGCAAAACATGCTGATGGTCATCCAGAAACACCTCTATAAAAGCCACCTGTTCGCTGGACACCAGCGGGCAAAGCCACAGCCAGCACAGCACAGAAAGACAAGCTAACGCGCCCATGGCTCCCGGTCAGTCGATGGTATAAATCATACTAAGTCATAGACTGAAAGTTTGAGCCATACTGTCAGAACTGCCTCTGTTCTGTCACCTCCTGCTGATGTAAACAAACTGAGTGGAGTGGAGCTCTTCTTCTGCGGCTCGCTTTTCCTGCCGGCACTTGTGAAAGTGAAACTAGCTAGAATGGAAACTGCTGTTAGACATGGTGGTAAACTCACGTAAGCACGTAAGGGAGCGCTGTGTGGTCCAATCATTCTTTACGACACACCAAGCTCCGCCCACTTCGTACATTCTCAGATTTGTATCCGCACATTCTCAGATTTGTATCCGCATTTTCTTTATATTTCTATTTCTATTTCTGTATTTCATATATTCACCTCGGCCGTTAGCAAAAGATGTGCGCTCGCCACCCAGTGGGAGACTGTAAAAATAGTTTTATATTACATTTTTTAGCTGTATAATTTTTTAAGCTTTGAGCTTTTCCACTCAAAATAATTAAATATTGGATGTTTCGGTAAAACCTTTACTCAACAGTTATGTACGTGCGAATTTGACATGACAATGAATTCTACTATCTTTAATGAAAAATTCAGTCCTTGTTTATAATTTGGCAAACATTTTTGTCTATAAACAAAGTTTTATTTATGTTTTTGTTTTAAGTTATTTCGAATAAAATATGCTAAATCATGAACTGTGAATGCAGATAGATAGACAGACAGACAGACAGACAGACAGATAGACAGACAGATAGACAGATAGACAGACAGACAGACAGACAGATAGA